TGAGAACTATTTGGATTTTTTTCTTTATAAACAATGAAAATTGTTTTAATAGTATTTTAAAATTGTAAAATAAATATTACATTTGTTTTGAATAAAATGCCTGAGATTGTTGGTTGTTATTTAATTTCAGTTAGGCTGTTAAAAATTAGTTTGAAATAATTCTTTCTGAGAATTTTTATATTTTTAAGACAATTATTAAACTTAAGCTCTTGAACACATACTGAAAGTGGTTTTTGGTGGTTTAAAGTTATGCTTTATTTTTGCCAATTTCAGAGCTATTTACATATTATTTGTTTTCTGCACTTTCTCACCTTAGTAAATCTGGAAGCAAAAAACTTCATGTTTGCCTTTCCTCTTTGAAGGAGACAGTAAACTTGAGATTTCAGTCTCGCCACTAGTCTGCCTTTGTCTGTTGTTAAAATTATGAGCCAGTCTCTATGGCCGCAGCCAAATGAGTAATCACCAGTAATGTGACTCGTGCTGGAAGTGACTCCATCAGCACCTGTGACGGGGGATTAGTTACAGTTTACAGAGCACCGCCTCTTCCCTTCTCTCTGTGTGCCCTAAGCCAAGTACTCGTTCTCATTTGGGTGTCTGCGCTGCTGGAAGCTACTGCAGTGTGTTTCCACGCAGAGTACAGTGGGAAAGGCTTTCTCTAACTGATGGATGGCTGTTCTCTTTATTTGGAGTATCTTACTGGTTATGTAAGCGACCTCGGGAGAAATTATCCTGACCCAGATCGGAGGATGCAGTAGTGCTTCAGCTGCAGGATTTCTTAGTCGTTAACACCACAGTGCTGATGACAAAGAGCGAGTTGTAATCCTCATCACTGCCAGGGCTGAGCCAGAGCAGACAGAAAATCGTCATTTGCTCGTCGGAGACTTGTTAGGTTACAGCTCCTGCTTCGTTCTGTGGTCTTGGCTTTTCTTCTTATACAATGACGCCGCTGCAAGTGAGCTCAGAAATGCCTGCTTTGAGAGCCATTTGCCTGTGATTTTTGAAGACTAAAGAAGTATTACGCCAGATTAAAAATACTGCTCAAGAACGAAATATAAACGCCAGCTATACTTAGTGACCTTTAAAGCCTTGTGGATTTCTTAGATACTTTAAAATTTCAAGAACAAAGTACGGTTTGTATTTTTTCTGCTTCCTTTTTCTTTTGTCTTAATTTACATTTGGTTTTGCTTCTCAGCCTTAGGAATTAAGGTCACTGCCTTTTATAGTCCTAGCCTCGCTGTTCTAAGTTTTAAGAATTTTTAACTATTTTGTTTAGAAAGAGGTTTACTGTGTTTGTAGTAATTTAATAATATTGGAGAAGGTTAGTTTAAAAGCTAGAGTTTAATTCATTAAAGTATTATGGCAGAAGTGTTTCAAATTAGACTAATGTTTCAAGGGAAGTGGGGATATTTGTTTTGTGGTTTTTTTTTTTTTTTTTCCTTGTGGTTTGTTCCCCACCCCCAACTTGTTTTCTAACAGTATGATGTTTTTCAATAGACCTGCTTGGGTGGGAATTTGGACTTTGTTCTTTCAAGTCACTCCAGCTTTTTTTTTTTTTTTAAAAGCTAAACCTTGACTTATAAAATGTTGGTTAGATTGTTTTCTGCTTGGCTATTTACCTTTGGTGAGTTTCATATCAGTATTTTGTATTTTATAAGCCTGATTTTTTTTTAAAAAAAGAGAATTGTTCAGTGTTAACCGGAGATTATTAGAAACTCAGACTGCAGACATAAACTCCGTGAATTTCCTGTGAAATGTTAAATGGTAAGCTTAAACATGGTTTGTTTGAGCAGCTGAGTTGTGTTTGAGAGCTGTAGCTGATTTATTTTCAAAATGTTTTTCGGGGAGGCCTCATCTGTTCGCTTCTTCCTCATGTAAATGGAATGTGGTGCAGCATGGAGCCCCAAACAGGATACAGTTGTTCTAAGCATTCTTCCTATAGTGTGGTAGGCCCTACCCGAAATGCAGCCTCTCAACTCTATTTTGGCTTTAGACTATTTTTAAAGTATGGTTAACAATGACAAATGACCGTAAAAAACCTGATAATCTGTTAATAAAATTGAAAAAGTGTTTTTGTTTCAACTAAATATTTAGTTTTAAGTTAGTAATTTTCATTTGGATTTTCAAAGGTTTTTTTCAGTATTTGAATAAGTCTTTTGTGGATTAAGGCCATATTCTGTGACTTTCATCAGATGGTAGCTCATTGCTTCCCCTTAGGCTGTGGAAGTTCTTCTAGAATGAGATATATCTTTAGAGTCCTGTATTGCTTAGTTATGCATGAGTTCCAGTTTCTTTACATTCCTGTGTACCTAGACACTGAAATATTTACTTCAGATTTATCATAAATGCTGTAGAATCCAATGTTTTTACTTAAATACATGTTTTTATTTTTAAGCTAATATGACATAGATTATGTACAAAAATTAACGATTACATTGTTGCTTTACCATTTAAAGATCAGAGTGTATTTTAACTACATCAATTCAGATGTTTTTAATTTTTCCATAAAGTAGGGTCAGTCAAAATTCTCAGTTGCTTAGTTAATATATACTGAGTGTTTCTTTTAAACCAGTACTATAAAAGTCTATAATCGGCCCCTGATTGCAACATACTTGTATTTTAAATATAATTTTACACTTCAGCATTTGCAAATTGTGGCCTTTTTATTATTTGAAAAACAAGATACTCTTCCATTTGTAGATGATTAAAAGTACTTGTGTCAAAAGTAGATCTTTGTTCTCTAAGAGCACTCAAATTTGATCATTCTAAGGTAGTCATTTTACATTTCTGATAGCCAAACTTCATTGGCTTTCAGTTTAGATATCTCGAAACTTCAAATGCTTTTATTTTTACCTAGAAGCTAAGCCTTTTCTCCCTAATTAACTCAGTAATTTAAATTACAAGTTGTTGAATTTTACCCCTAAAACTCTGACCTACTTTGAAAAACAGCTCTGAGAGGTTCTTTTCAGCAGAATCTTTTTCATATTATAAAATGACTAGGTCTCATAGGAAATGCAAACCACCTGTATTATTTGCCTAAGAAAGAGGCACTCAAGACATGAGACCTTCACTTCTGTTTCAAATCCTTCGTAATTGAATTGTTTCTTCAGCCTCTTAGATGATACCTTTTGTGGACCTTTTTGTTAACCTTCACCATTTGACCTAGTGTGGTGCTGTGTGAAAAGAAATAGAGCATTTAATGATGTTCAGAGATTAAAAATACTCTTGAAGTGTTTTCTAGTTTATTACAAAATACACTGAGATATAATAAGAAAAAATTTTTATTCTAGATATCAGATGAATTTTTTCATTTTATATATTTCATGTCAGTTGATCACATAGTAAGGGACATTTTAAAAATCTATATAAATACTGTTGGGTTTCTTATAAACATTGTCACTTGTTAAAGAAAATAATGGGATTTTATGCAATGATAATTTTAGGAATTTAGTTTTGGAAAATATTAGATGATAACAGTAGTAGTAAGATAGCTAAGTAATGTATATTGAAAATGTGATTTCCAATCCAAATAAAATACTTTTTATAAATGCTTGGTGCTTAAAAGGTTAGCCTAAGACATGGGAAGGATGATGTTACTGTGATTAGATTTTCTAAGCATAAATCTTGAAAATAAGTGGGTATCTGGGAGAATATTTATAATAACGTGATTAAGGAAAGAAGATATTTTATAAATTCATTGTGTAGATAGTTTAGGATTAAGGCACTTTAAAATTATTCTCCTGTGTTCTCAGCTTTTAAAAACATTCTGGCCGACTGCAGTGAATCCACTTGAAAAATCCTTTTAGAAATTTACATACAGAAATTAACTCTTTAAGAGCCACTCCAAATTAAAGATCTTGAAGTAGTTCCCTGGAGTATGTTTATTGTGATTAATAAAGTGTTGCATTTCTTGAAAACATAGAAGGAGATCACCGTGGCTTTGGAATTCTTGGGAATTTTAAATATCTGTGTCAAAAGCTTTGTTTTATATCCAGTGATCACGCAAATGGTTGTAGTGAGAAAGATTCTTCTTGTGATACAGGTAATTGAGAAGCTGAGTTGGTTATTAAGTACATATTCTAAACTTTGTGTTACTATACAACCAGTAGATGGTGAGATTTTGTTTTCATTTTCAAGTTTCTAGAACAGTATCGTGCATATAAGACATTTGGTTTTTATTCAGGCTTCACCTACCTTGAAAATTAATTGTAACTGTCATGAAGAAAAATACATTCGTTTTCTTCCTGTTCTTACCTGGCACAGCTCTCAATTCCCACCTCAAGATACATACAGTAAAATCCTCTATGTAAAAGAGGAGTCTCCTTTAAAATAATCAAATGATGGTGATTCACTTTTTGTTTCAAAGTAGTAGAGATTTGGAGAAATTTTACTGCAGTGTATGTTTTGTGAAGTACTTCTTACTGACTTCCTTTTATTCCCTCCGTGCTGCTCTCAGCACTGAAGTGGCAGGATTTTCGGTTGTGCTCTGGCTGTGAGCAGGGGTGGGAAGTACAAGGGGTGGAGTTAAAGACCATATGCTTCCTGATCATTAAAAATCCTTCTTAATGTGAATGAGCTAGTAAAATATGAATTGAAATAATAACTATTCTCTTTCATAAAAGCCTAATTCTAGCCATAAAAAAGGAGGTTAAATAAGGTCTCCTACTTTTTCAGATGCAGTTTCTCTATCTTAAGCAGAAGTTTTTTAATACCTAAGTATATTTGATTATATCCCCTTTTTAAACATAAACTAGAAGCTTAATGTGTTGGAAAAATTTCATATCCCATCTAGCTCTACTTTATTCCTTTTTATTAAATATATAATACTCTATTATGAATAAGAACATTATTTAGATTATAATATGAAAAGTAATATTAATTGGTATCCAAAGCCATTGTGTTAATGTCACATTGATATATTGATTTATACCAACTCAGTTTGAGGATATAACCGCCAAAAAATAACCATTAGAAATTTGTTGTTTTGTTTTCACTCTTGACAGACTTTCAAACCCCTGGTTGAAAAAAGTATACCCAGTTCAATCACTGCAGTAGAATTCCTTGTAGATAAACAACTGGATTTTTTAACTAAAGATAGTGCCTTTCAACCTTACCAGGTAAGCAATTTTATATTACTTTTAAAAGTTAACTATCCATTAAACTTAATTGATATTGAGATATTGATTCTTTTCAAATATTGTTTCAGCTAACATCTAGGAACCCAGTGTGTTTAATTAATTTTGGACATAGGAAAAATGATTGATTATTCAATCAACAGATATATACTGAGAAGTTACTATGAGCCAGGCAGTATTTTGTCACTGGAAATACAGAAATGAAAAAAACAAAATCCTTGACATTCTAACTAATATTGTTAGGAAATAACTGGGTAGCTGTTAGTAGAAATTATCTTTGCCGCCACTGCTAAAGGTTAGGAATTGAGTCAGTTAATGTAATCAGATAAAAGTTAGTGTTTGCCTTATGCACACATATCAGTTTAGCATAACAGTTTGTTTTTAAGGGAATTATTTTAGGTTGTCAGTAATTGTATAATTAAATAAAAATAAAAATGTATTGGAAACTATTTTCATCAACATTAAGCTAAATGTGCTCTTTATGTAATGAAGTTTGTCTTATATATTTGGACTGTCCACTGAAATAAATTAATATTTTGTAAGCTCTTTTGGGTTAAATATGTGAAATTATGAAGTAACTACTTTGAAAGAAAGGATAAGTGAAGTACTTTAATTTTTTTTCTAACAAGTTAATTTTCTTTGTGTTTTTGGACTCCAGGTTGAGTTCATAGGTTTATTTTTCTTAAATGTTTAAAACAATATAATTACATTTAAGAGAAAGATGAGTGAACGGTTTAGTTTTGTTCTGATAGTATACAAACTTCATTTTTGACTAGTTAAGTGTTTTCTAAAAAATGAAATGTAGAGCTGTTGTTTCCATATGGAAGGAGCAAGGGCTTCAGTTAGTTACCAGTGGTTTTTTGTGCATGAAGTTATTGATACTTAGGGAATTACAGTAGTTCTTTTAGGTCTTCCAGAATAGGATGCTAGTTCCTTTAGGATAAATATTATTTTAAAAGTCTCCATAGATATATGTGCTTTTGTCATTCTGAATTATCTTTCCTTTGTCTTTAAGTGGCCTAGTTTTTTGTATCGTTGAGCTTTTGTTTTTTGTATATTTATAGTTAAAAATTCATAGTAAATTCCAGTTTAATAGCAAATGTTTTAGAACTTTTCCCCTGGGTTTAATTTTGTTTTTCATTGCAAATGTCATTTAGCTTTCTATAGGTCTTGGTAAGGTGAATCTAGGTGAAACCAAAGGAGCTATCCAATTATTAATGTTTCAATTCTATATTTGTGTTGTTAGCCCTTTGGAAGTTTCAGATTGAATTTCATTTAGAGAAGTGAAATCATTAAGTAGAAATTAGTTTTAAAAATAAACTCTGGCCAGGTGGCCTAAAACTCTATAACATGTTTATTAAAATTGATAATGATTGAAAGAATGTACTAACACAGGTTCCCCCTTCCCCAACACTTTTAAACTGTTTTAGGGCCTGATATTTCTTAACAAATAAAGACACAGGATGAGTTGTGTGATTGTCTTTGCTAATTAGTTATTTACACTGCTCTGTTAGTATATGTGGAAGTTGACCTCTGGCCTAGAAGGATACTTTTTCTTCCAGAGGAGAAGTGATTCACGTGACATTCTAACCCTTTGTGTTTCCCAAAAAAGGTGAATTCTCAGTTCTAAAAAAATTCAGAAGGAAGGAAATCTTATAGGAGCACTTGTTTTAAGATCTAGCATATTTGTATCTTAGAATTTATTGTAAGTTTTAAAAGTAATTGATGGATTACCATAGTTTTTCCATATACATTTTTTTACAATATTTCTTTATTTTCACTTTATTTGAAAAGCAAAGAGACAGAGACACACAGATTTTCCATCTGTTGTTTTACTTCCAAAATCCACACAACAGCTGGAGTTGGGCTAGGCCAAAGCCAGGAGCCCTGAACTCAATCCAGGTTTCCCATGTGTATGCCAAGGATGCAAGTACTTGAGCCATCATTCACTGCCTCCCAGGGTATGCATTAGCAAGAAGCTAGAATCAGAAGTGGAGCCCAGACTGGTACCCAGGCCCTCCAGATAAGAGTTGTAACTATCCCAAGCAGTGTTTTAACTGCTGCACCAAATGCCTGCTCCCTGCAGTTAAATATGTGTGTATCTGTGTATTTTTTAAACAGGATAGAAGTATGAGGGTACTTCACAAAGTTAATGGAAAATATGTAACTATACATGGTAGCAAGTATTTAGCGTAGCAGTTAAAAACATGGGTTCCAGTGCCACAGGTTTTGACCTCTCTGCAGGCATTTGGGGAATGAACCAGTGAATGAGAGCTTATCTTCCAGTTCTCTTATAAATTTAAAAAAAATTTAAAACTTATGCTTGGATTTCAAAAATTTTTGTAACAAAATGTACGTATCTTTGATTCCATTTTTCCATTAACTTAAAAAAATTCTTTTCGGAAAAGCAAAGACATAATGCTAGCGCTGTGGTGTAGAAGTTAAAGCCACCACCTGAAATGCCAAGATTGTATATAGGCCACGATTTGAGTCCTGGCTGCCCCACTTTCAAATCCATCTGGGTCTCCCTGCTAATGTGCCTGGGAAAGCAGTGGAAGAGGTTCCAAGTGCTTGGTCCCCTGAACCCATGTGGGTAACCCGGGAGAAGCTTCTGGCTCCTGGCTTTGGATTGGTCCAGCTCCCACTATTGCAGCCATTTGGGGAGTTGAACCAGCAGTTGGACGATCTCCCCCCCGCCCCCCTTCTCTATCTCTGCCTTTCAAATAAATAAGTAAATCTTTAAAAAATGAAAGCAAGGAGGCAGAGATGGTTAGACAAGATCTTCCTCTACTGGTACACTCTGCAAATGCCTACAAAAGCCTGGACTGGGCCAGGTAAAAGCCAGAAGCCTAGAACTCAATGTGAATCTTTCCCTTTGGTGGAAGTGACTCAAGTACTTCAGATCTGGTGATTCCCAGGTGCATTGCAGGAAGCCTGGTCAGAAGTTGCATAGCCAGCGCTGGAAGCCAGCATTCCAAGATGGGATGCTGGTGTCCCAAGAGGTGCTTTAATTACTGTGCTAAGTGCCTACCCCTCTGTGAACTTTTTGAAGTACTCTCATAAAATTATTTTTTCCAATGTATAAATTATAGGCACTTATCTTAATATTTTGAGTGACTACTCTAGAAATCTAAGATGGCTCAGTTTAGTTTTTCTAGTTTATTTAAATCAACTTGTGCAATCATAGACACATTCTAGAAAAAGGAGAGAACTTCAGAGCACATATGATTAAAATAGCTTACTCCCAAAATGCTTTTCTCTAACCAAGCAATACATGTTACTACATAGATTTTGTAAATCTCTTAGGTTTTGACCTATATCAACCTTCCGGTAGCCCTGTGTAAATCAAAAGGATTTTGAGTGCACTTGAATAGGCTTTCTAATTGGTCTCCCTGTTTTTTTTCTCACTAATGTAAATATCATAAGGTGGTTTATTTTGAATGTATGTACCACTTTTTTTTAAACTTCCTGTGTAGGAGGAAGATAATTTTTTTTTTAAGATTTATTTTTATTTATTTATTTTTGAAAGAGTGACAGGGGGAGAGAGAGAAACTTCATCCACTGGTTCACTCTCCAAATGGCTTCATTGGCCAGGTTTGGGCCAGGTTGAAGACAGGAGCCTGGAACTCCTATGCAAGTGGTAGGGGCTGAAGTATTTAGGCCATCATTTGCTGGCACACTAGCAGAGAGCTGGGTGGGAAGTGGAGTAGCCAGGACTAGAACTTTTGCCCTGACAGGATGCTTTGTAGAGGGTGGCTTAAACAGCCATGCCACAGTGCCAGTCCCAGAATCTTTTCTTTTTAATGTTTATTTTCATCAACTTAAGGCAGAAAGAGACTGAAAGAGACAAAGAGTTCATTCATCTGCTAGTTCACTCCCCCAAATCCTGCAATAGCCAGGTATACGGGCCAGGCCAAACAAAGCCAGGAGCCCAAAACTCCATCTGTGTTTCCCATGTGAGTACCTGGGGCCAAGGACTTAAGCCATCATCTGCTGCTTCCCATGGTGCATCAGCAAGTTGGAACCCAAGTGGAGTACCAGAACTTGAACTAGCACTCTGAGGTGGAATGCAGGCATCCCAAGCAATGATTTAACTCCCTAGGCCACAGTGACAAACCCACCAGTCCACAAGGCCTGCCTAAAATCTCTTATTGAAATGGGCTTTGTGTATATACTTTTTAATCTAAAATGGTGACTACATATAAGTTTTTTTTCAGAGTTCTCACAAATGATGCTCTGAATCTAATTAAATGAGAATTTTCATCTCTCACCTTATCCTTGGGTTCTTAATATTTTATTCTGTAGCAATATGTTCCCTTTAGTTTCCTTTATAGTTGCACAGTCCTATTTTTAATTAAATCAGAATGATAATACACACACACACACACACACACAAGTACTGTAGGGTAATGGCTAGGAAAATAATGTGAGCATGACTCAGTTTCAATATAGGCTTCTCACTAGGATATTCATTTGGATTCTACTCTTACCTCTCTGAATGTGTGAAGTTAGTCTATTTGATTGGATTTTTAGGTGGCATATACTTGAGTATTCCAGGGTACAACTATTATAATTCAGTATTTTAGAAAGAAGGTTCATTGAGGAAAGGAATTGAACCAACAGGTTACAGACAGCATAATGACTACGTACTAACTGGGTCACTGAAGGAACATGGAATTGTATTGTTAAGCGATTTTACCTTCCTTGTGCAGGCAAATAAGTTTCTACTTCCTTCTTTCAGGTTTCCTGATCATACCTGGCCACAGTTAACTTTCTTTGAAGTAGAGGGGGAAGGGAAAAGGGACAGGAAGTAGGAGGGAACTCTGCAGATTCTGTTAAGTCTTCAGTGGGTTGGAAAGAAGGAGAAAAAAACAAATTATTGCTTTTTAAAGATGCTTTGTATAGTATGTTACTCTCTGTGGTATTGTTGCTTTGGAATACAATTACAGAAGTTCCAAAAGAGTTCAATTAAATCACATTCA